GTGGGGGGAGCCTATAAGAGGCCACGCCCTTCTAGCTGACCCGGCTCCGCCCCCGGCCCCAGGAGGACTCGCGCTTCGCGGGAAAGGAGCTGGATCCCAACGCCAGCGACTACCTGCCGAGCCTGCTGGGGCTCGTGGAGGAAAAGCTGCTAAAACTGCAGTCGCAGCTCGTGAGCCACGACGTGCCGGAGATGCTGCGCCACCTCGCCGACCGCGAGGTGCCCATGCGGCCAGGGGCAGGGCTTGAGGGACTAAGGGTGGGGGTCGCAACCCCGGAGAGACGCGGGTGAAGGCTGCGGAACCAGGAAGGGACCGTGGGGCTGTGCGTGAGGTTGGAAGAGCTGGAGGAGCCTGAGACTCCTGGAGAGATCAGGATTGGGGTGGGAGTTGGGGTCGCCTTGAGAGGCCCTGGAGTGAGCCCCAGAGATCAGGGGTGGGCCTGAGGGTCATGGGGGTGGAGGTGGTGGACATCAGAAGGTCCGCTGGAAAGGAGGCCAGAGAGAGAAAGAGGAGTGGGCTGTGGTCTCTGGAATCGGGGCTGAGGCGGAGGGGACGGGCTTTTCCGCGGGCACTGCCCCGCCCACTCTCCTCCTGCCCCGCCCACTCTCCTTCTGCCCCGCCCACTCTCCTCCTGCCCCCTCCCTCCTCGCCTAGTTCTACGCCAACCTGGAGGGGAAGCTGCCCCAATGGAGTGGGGTGGTGAAGGCCAGGCAGGGCAATCCGAGCCCGGGATGGGGACCCTATGTATCCTTCCTCGCCCAACGCCCCGCACAGACGAAGAGGAGAGTGAGGAAGAGGACAACGAAGTAGTGTCCCGCGCGTCACTTAAGATCCGTTCCCAGAAATTAATCGAAACCCGCAACAAGAAGCGCGGACGCTCGCGGAGGTCCTAGACTCGCCTAGGCATCCACATGGCGCCTCCGGGTCCCTTCGGAGGCCCGACCCCTCTGGGCCCAGCTGTGGGCCCACGAGGCCCCTCTGGGGGCTGGACGCGGCCGGGGCCGGCCGGGGAGCGGAGCAGGCCAGCGTGGCGCGCAGAGGAGAGGCAGGGGGCCGGGCGGACGTTCCCACAGTAAATCTTCCCCAGGCGGGTCTGTGCCGGCCTCGGGATCGCGCAATAAAGGTCGCCGACCAGCCTCCTGGGTATTGGCCTCTCCTTGACCCAGCCCTGCCCGAGAGACGGCTGCCCTTCCAAAGCCGGGGCCACAGACTTAGCCCCCTCCAAGCCCCCATCAGCTGGTGACATACTGGACTCCCTTTTCCTCCTTGCTAGGGAAATGGGAGAGACACCCCCCCCCCAAGCTGGGCAGCTGAGACCTTCCGGTCTTGGGGACAGGGGACTCTCCTCCTGGGACAGACTTCCCACTAGCGCCCTCACATCCCCGGGCGATGGAAAAAGGCCCCCTCCCCTGGGGACTGGTTGATACACATCTGTGAGGAGGAGCGAGACCTCTCATGTCGGGCCTGGGCGCCCAGAGCTCTGGGTCGGGCCCGCCCCCCGGCCCGCCGGCCCCCCTCGCCTCGCCCCGCCCCTCCTGGTGGCCCCGGCCGGCCACTGCCCGCGTCCGCCTGCCCTTCCGCCTCACTCGGCGACGCCTCCTTGGAGGAGACGGGCGTGGGCCATGGAACGCACAGCGGGCAAGGAGCTCGCCCTGGTAAGGGGGCGAGGGGACCCGCGGCCCCGCATCCCTGGGGACTTGCAGGTGCAGAAACTCCAGGCGCCTGTCCCTTGGTCCCTATGTCCTCCCACCTCAGACGTCCCCCTTCCCCGGAGTCCTCACCTCCGGACTTGGCCCTTGACCCAGTGAAGCTCATTCCTCTTAGCGATCGAGACCCGGGCTGAGCGGGTTCGCGGGAGGGCTGGAGGGTGGGAGAAAGATTCCAGGAGGCTGGACCCAGGGACGTTCCCAAATGCCACCCATCCTCTCAAGACCTGGGAGGAGGGTCCCGCGGCAAGGAGGGGACCAGGTTGCGACGTGTTGCAGTCTCGAAGTCTCTGGCTGTAAATGGGGGTGGAGCAGGAGCCCGCGCGGCGTCGGGGGCCGAGGCCCGGGGGATGTGTCCCCCTGCGGCGCTGAGCTGGCTCCGCGTCCAGGCGCCGCTGCAGGACTGGGGCGAGGAGACGGAGGACGGCGCCGTGTACAGCGTCTCTCTGCGGCGCCAGCGCAGTCAGCGATCGAGTCCCGGGGAGGGGTCCGGGGGCAGCCAGGTGAGGAGGGGACAGCGCGCAGGAGAGGAGCCCAGGAGGCGGGAGGTGAGGGCGGAGCCGGAGAGAGAGCGGGGCTGGAGCCGCCAGGTGCAACGGGGCTTGAAGGGAGGGCGGGGCTTACAGGTGACTGGGTGAGGGCCGAAACGGGCTGGGGGGGGCGGCCAGGTGAGTGGGGTAGACTCAGGAAGTGGGGTGGGGCCGGTTAATGGCCGCGCGGCTCCGC